TATATGTATGGGATATACGTGCTCAATTCTATACTGAATATACAATATGAATGCTTTTAATAATTGTAGTTCAAACATTATCGCTAAAACATGAAAATTATTTTCATCCCGTAAGATAAGCTTGTGGCATTCTGTATATATAAAAAGAAAAGAAAAAGAAAGCATTTAAAAGATGCAACGTATAAAAAGCGGATAAGAAACATGGTATTAGTCGAGCGCTGAAACGGTGCACACGCGCTAATATGGTTACTTCAACACTTCAAATCAAGGACCAACACCTGAGACACGAAAATAAAGCAGTAAAAGGTGCAACGTTGTAAAATCGAATAATGAATAAATAAATAACTAATAAGAAACAGGGTACCAGTACAGCGCGGAAACGGGTACACATATGCTACCACTACAATACAAGAACCAACACCCGAGACACGAAAATAAAGCAATTCAAAGGAGCAACATATATGTTTTGCTCATTGTTGAAGACCGCATCCGGAACTCATATCATTATCATAGGTTTGTTTATTTACGAGAATCATTCAAGATTGTGAAAAAAAATATTGTTTCAGGGTATAATTATTTCTCATTTTGAAATATTCAGCTCCCTATTAAATCTACTTGAATGTTTAAGAATGTTTCATACAAGTATTTGCTTATGTCAAGTTGTTCTCTGTTTGAGGTGTACTTCGACCATAGAGACATACTCATAATTACATTTTATGCCTCGAAAATCTGCATCTATAAATAGAAAATCATCGGCCTTTCATAGGGGTAAGATCTACTAGTACTCAAAAATACCCTTGTTCTTTTAATGAATCGTTCGTTTCCTCTTATATTAGCGCTGCCTCCATTTTACGATCACGATTACGAGTTACAACAGGCTTCGAGCAGTCGTAAGTTTATTACAATATTTACAACACATCGCATCGAATATTAATGACTTTGTACTTGAAATGTCTGAAAATGGGTTTCATTTAACTTGAGGTATATTGTCTCGGGAAAATTTACCTGTAACTACATTAAGGCAAACGCCTCATGTAGGAAATTTCAAAAAACAAATGCTTGTCTCTTCATATCAAATTGTTTTCACGGCGAGTATCTTGCAAGAAGCAAGTTCTGTTCACCCTTTGAGTTAGCCCCCATTTTTCGGGATCCATGTTTTTCATTTATCAAACAATTTTTGGATTCGTCAAAATCAGTCATTTTTTTATCTTTATAAAGAAAATGTACATTTTATCGTCATGCATTAAAAATTACAGTTAACGTCATTTGGCAAGTTTTTTTGTCGTTATTTGTCATGGAGGTATCCCCATTACAACCCTCAAACAACGCCACCGTAAACATTAGAATTCTGTCTGAAATAAGTTAACTACAGGTACAGTCAAACTCGCAAACCGAATCTGTGTACTGTGGATTCATTATTATTCGTTGGATACCAATTTTCGTGGGTTTCGTGGGTACAGGTGAACCACGAATTCAAATGTTCAACGAATTACAAATGTTAATTTGGCTTTGTATGCAGAGATTGGCAAAACCACGAAATCAAATATCCACGAAAATGCAAGTGTTCCTCAATCCACGAAAATTGATACCCACGAAAATAAATGAATCCACAGTATCTATGGAAAAATTTAGTAAAGGTTTTAAGTAATTTCTGGTAAAGAAATCCTTGACTTAATAATTTACTAGTAATACTTAGATTACGTTCATTAAAATCTTAACCCTTATACCATGCTGTGCCCGTCATATGACGGAATTACCCAAACCACCGTTATTTTGCTCAAATGGCTCTCCATACTCTCCATACTTTTAGAGGTCAACTTTATGATACTTATTTCGAAATTGATGCATGTTCCTGAGGCTATCTGTTGTTCTCATGTTTAAGTTGCATTTTGAGCTGAAATACGAACTTGGAAAATTGAAATCGGATAAAACTGGTTTTTCTGGAGGGTGGCCTTCCCTTCGGTGTCTTACACAGGAAGTGTAGAGGCCTAAAACTTTCAAATATAGTGTAAAACCGCAAGCATATATCTACTGATCATAATTATTATTGAAATACGCATACGACTACTTCCGGATTCAAGTCCAGTTGAAGTCAAAAATCGGAAAAAATCGTGAAATTCCTTATTTTTTGTCCAAATGACCTTCTTTAGACTGGTGTACCCAGATCAGTTTCACTCCAACCTAAGAACTGTTGGGGTTAATGTGTTTACTGGGGTCCACAGTACATGCAGACTACAGCTGGATACCTATATCCGCATCCCTTGGTCTTTGGGGTCAAGAAATAGGACGAAAAATCGTCACACTTTTTGCACCTGATGACCAACAATTAGACATTTGAAAAGTGAGAAAAATAACAGCCTTATTTATAACAAAACAATTTACAAAAAACATGTACGACAGACATGTATCAACGACAACCATATGTGCATAAAACGACAACCACTCAATAACACTCAATGGCATGCTCAATAATCAACTAATGACTTTAATTGGACCGAGTTTTGGACAGGCACATATAGGATCATATAGAATGAGGCGGGGTTAAACATGTTTGAAGGCGCTAACCCCCCTAACTTGGACAGTGATGTAACAGTACAGCATAAGAACAAACAATAAAAACAAGTATTGAGTTTAAGTATGTTTTTCGACCGTTTTATTAAACGCACAGATGACTTTTACTATCGATTTTGCCTCGAATTCTAATATTCCCTTTAAAAATCAAAGGCGGTCGCTTCGGAAAAGTCGATAAGAGTACTATCTTAACTCGCAGTGTCGTAAGTATATACTTAGATAGCTGTAAAATTCTTAAGAGTAACACACGAGGGGATTGGAGATACGCTCTTAGCACCATCGTAACTTTCTCGTTAAGGGCTCGTAAGTTTTCTCATAATGAAACTTAAGATAGGTTTTCATGATACTGGCCCCTGACCTCTAGCTGTTTCTCTTTTTCTTTTCTTTTTTGAGTCACTGTCCTTTTACAAGCTTTGACATTTTTCACATGCTAAGGATTTTCTACCCCAAGATGTATTTCTTTCGATGTATTCGGCAAAACCTTTGTTTCGAAATTTTGGGTCTTGAATTCCTTTCAACTTCGTACTTTATTTGGCCTTTTTAACTTTTTTTATTCGAGCGTCACTGATGATTCTTTGTAAGTTTAACTCGCGTCTGGCGTACAACATTTTAATCCTGGTATCTTTTTATATCTACATGTCTTTTTATATAAATTGGTTCTTTTGAAAGTATGTTCAGGTATTCATAAAACTTATGAAAATAAGATACTCTACAAAACCAAGTTTCCCTGTAGAATATTTGGATTGATTTAAGTAAAATCAGCAAATCCTTAAAATTTGAGATGTTTTATGAGACCAAAATAAGTCTCTATATAAAAGGTCCAAATGAAGCTGGTGTGTTACTCTCAAGAAAAATATACGAAACCTTCTATAAGTTGTATGCCATAGGGTTTCACTTAACATGGAAAATGGACTTTAGATTTATCTGTACAACATCTAGCATTAGTACAGACAACTTCAAAAACGAGTTGAGAATATGAAGGCATCCATGCAAGAAACAAAATATAAAGATGTGATAGATAAAATAAATGCATCCAGATTATAAAGCAAACTGAGTGCTTAAATTTATATTGCGATTGGTTTGTGCAATTTGCATTATACATCCGGTTTGTAGAAACTGGGATTTGCAATAGGATTATAAAAAAATGATGTACAATCCCAAGTGATAAATGAAATAGTCGAGCTTTAAAATGTATATTCAAACAGAAGCTGTATATACACTTTTCTATTCACACCTATCCAACATTGCTTTCAACTGACTTGTGCAAGAATGTACACACTATTACATATTTTTAATAAAGGTAGTTTAACTTCATCATTATCTTCTTCTATTCACAGTCAATTATTTCAATTCAAATGCAAACAAAATTCAGCAACAATCTTTTGGTGACCAGTCAGCGGTCTTAGGTTCACGTGTTGCTTTTCTTTTTTTTAAAGAAAGCAACTTGTTTAGACGTTCTTAAATATGAATTAAATTTGTGATTGGCCCTTGGGTGTAGTTTCTTCACTAAAATGTTCGACATTGTCCATTTATTGCGCGAACTGATCGAATCTTGGGAGCTAAAGCGGAAGAATGATTTGATGATAAATCGGAATCTAAGTGCATCTATTCTTACTATATACAAAAGATGGCGAACATCTATCAACTGTAACTGTTTTGGGCGTAAAATAATCCAGAATCTTTGACACTGAAGAAACATTAATTGTCGATATACGCATCTGATGTTGTACCATTGGTTCAGTGAATGTTATTACTATCACTGGGTCGATACCTCTGCTGGTGGATTGTTAGTCCCCAAGGGTATCAACAGCACAGTAGCTTGTACTTTTGGACTGGCATGGAAATACGGATAATGTTTCGTTAAAATTTGCTGTTAAAATATTTTCGAAATTATATTGAATAAAACAAAATCTCCCTCATAGCTCTGATTCTTAATGGTTTTTGGTTTTGCCTTTACTTTTGGTTCTTTTTGGTTTTATCAGTTCTTCAACGTTTGTATCAGGTTTTGCATTTTCAAATATTTTGGTTTCTAGCACAACTGAAGAACATAAATTGTCGGAATCTCGAACAGTAAAATTAGTATCGTTAGTGATAATTAAGCCTTTCATTTTAGCATACCCTAAAATAAATCCTTCTCAAATATGAAAAAAGCTCCTATGTATCCCCCCAAAATAGTAGCTCTTAAAAAGTTACAACACAAATAGATTGTCTCTAGTCAAAAATGCCGAAAAAGAACTCCAAAGGAAAAGACTAAGAAGTTATTGACGTACCAAACTTAAAAAGAAACAAATGTACCGTACTTTTAATTTCACGATTATTTAGGGTGACGTTATAAACAATGAGAGTTGCGTTAACCGCTCTCTTTGGCATCAGCCAACAAAACTACGAGAAATTCCTATGGATGAAGAAATTGCATATATTGTGTTTTCAAATTTTTAATAATTCAATGCAAATGTATAAAAGGTATTCAAATAAGTTATCACGCTTGATATATCTATTGCCACTGGAATCTTCAAAGTTATTCTAAGAACATCAACAATGACCATGTGACTAAGACGTACAAACAGACTGAGGAATTATGTGAAATACGTTGACCTGCAAAAAAAAAATAGTGTAAAATATAAATGAACAAATAAATAAATAATTTATTTTGAGAAAATAATATTTGCTCTACGTCTGATTGTATTACGTTGTGCCTTTTTTGTTGTGTTTCAACCTTTTTATTGTCACATCTAAATAATATCAGGTCAAAGCGTTTGCTTGTAATTTATGATAATAAAGTTTTGATACAACAAATCATGTATATTTAACAGAAAAGAAACAAAATAATCAATGATCTGGCAGTGACAATGTACAACTTATGAATGTGTCATATGTCCTCGTTGTACGGATAATTTCTTATTTTCTTATTTTTTATAAACAATGTACCATATGAAAATTATTTTCTGATTACGAGCATACTAGTATTACACCTTTACAATTATATCATCTGTTCTTATCAAATATGAAATATTAAAGAACAAAAGTTGACCACCACCGTATGAATCAGAAACTTCTGTAGCTTGGATAATGAAAGAATTCGCTCTCTCTCTCTCTCTTTCTCTCTCTCTCTCCACTCTTCAGGTTGACGACATTGTAGAAACACATGCATAGCATATATAAAATATTAAGAAATCCATATACCTGCAGATCTTTGTTTCTCCAAAGGCCTTTTAGCTATCTTCAGAGTTCTTCCTGGAGTAAGTTCTTGATTGAACTTGTGACCTTTTCTTTTCATTTTAATACTGCTACAGCTTTCGCCCTAAAGAATACATGATAGCTTTTTTCCATGATTTTATAGTTACCTGAAGCATTGATTTTTGAAATTTAAAGTTATATAATTTCTGATCTCAATTAAAATACGATTTCGGCGTGTCCGAAAAAAAATAGTTAAATGTATACAGTATAAACTACACTTTTAAAAATGTCCTCCCATATGTGTATTTGACTAAATAATTTTGTATCATTTTTATTCAAATAATAACAAGTGTGGATACAGATCATTGTGGGTCGTAATGTTGGATTAGTGTTAGTATGTTTGATTCGTGGCACATTGGGACGTTCATTCTGTATTTGTCTTGATCTCAACAGTAATTTTTGGAAGGAGTAATACTTATTTGTCCCCCTTTGGACCAGGACTAACAGGTATTAAAAAACAAAATCCTTGGCCTGAACTACAATGTATATTTAGCATGGCGTTCACCACCTTGTTATCATTTGTGCATGATTCGCTTTAAATGTATGCGATATTTCCTGAGAGAAAGCATCTGTATGTCTTTCTTATAGGATTCTATAGCAAACTGTGTTCCACTATAACAGTCATTTTGGATTTCAGATCGGCATAGAAATCTTAAAATTAGTACAGGAACACTCAAGTATCACTTATTCAAGATGTGGTTTAAATATTTGATACGGTTTCCAAGAAGAAGCTATTTGTATGTACATGTATTTCGAATATAGTTCTTTTAAAATAATTACTATAATAACTAATAATTTTTGTTATGAAAAAGTGAAATTAACAAAAATAGGATTGACTTACGAGAGTGCATGCGCTACAGATCCGAACGTGGCATGCAAATGTCACATCAGTTGAGTTTCCAAATGTGAAGACTTTAATTCTCGCAAAAACTGTTTGTGCATCTTTACGTTCAATCGGGGAAAAATAATTGGTCGTTGATGAATTGCAACTGAATAAAACAATTAAATCTAATTTCGTTCTATATAAAATATACTTACGGCGTACATTAATCATAAATTTCAGAGTACCGCTATTTAAGTAACTCTACTTTTATTTGAAATTTTATTGTATAAATATACTTCTATAAAATTGAGAATGGAAATGGGGAATGTGTCAAAGAGACAACAACCCGACCAAAGAGTAGAAAACAGCCGAAGGCCACCAATGGGTCTTCAACACAGCGAGAAAATCCTGCACCCGGAAGCGGGCTTCAGCTGGCCCCTAAACAAAACTGTGTACTAGTTCAGTGAAAATGGACGTCATACTAAACTCCAAAACATTTAAATGAACTAAAATTAGAAAAAATACTAGCAAAGGCCAGAGGCTCCTGACTTGGGACAGGCGCAAAAATATGGCGAGGTTAAACATGTTTTGTGAGATATCAACCCTCCCCTATACCTCTAGCTAATGTAGGATAAACAAACACACAGCAATATGCATGCACAAATATCGTAATGATAGTTCTTAAAACTAAATTTTAAGATAAACTTAAACATGAGTATGATACCAGCTATATCCGGCAAATATGACATACTTTTACCTTTCATGACTAACAAAGTTAATAAAAAAAAATAATTGTTTGTGAAAATGTCTGCAACAAACTAGACAAGAAGGCGTACATTAATCATAGATATCAGAGCACCGCTAATTCAAGAAATGAATTGTATCTTTATTTGAAGTCATACTGTAGAAATGTATTTATATTCATGTACCTAAGTCTGAATGAAAGGTCTTAAAACTATATTTTGAGATAAACTTATACATGATTTATTGATATGTATCCAGCAAATAAGATATACTTTTTCTTTTTAACTATATATTTTCATGATAAACTAAGTTAATAAATACCTTTGTTTGTCTTACTTAAAAAAATAAAATTCAAATATGAACACCAACCTATGTATATCCCACAAAGGTTTGAGGTATTTTGCCGATTGTATAATGCTCCCTGAATAAGCAGTACAGCTTGTCGGCATTATGGTGTAATTCGTTTCTGAAAAAAATTCTCATATTTGCAAATATGCCTCATTAGTAGTATTTTTCAATAATCAAAAGTGGTTTGATTCACCAAGGACCAGATGTCTGAAATACCTATAAATTTTAAAATGGCTAATCATTGACCGTTATTTCACTGAAATCTGTTATAGGAAATCTTATTCGCGTCAATGAACACTGTTGTAAAAATAATTTATAAGAATAATATCAGCAGCTGTCATTTTCCTAAACTAAATATTAACTACACTTTATCAACTGAAAACTGACTGTCCAACTTCTAACATGACTGTTTTCAAAAAACTTATAAGTTACCGTTAAAGTCATATGAAACAAGTTTCTTGTAATTTCAATGTTACCGAAATTATTGAACCAACGCATGGATATTTATACAAAAGTGAGTCCTGTATTCAAGTTGTTTTTTATTTATTACGAATTTATAACGTATTATCGACAAATAATGTTTTATTCAGAGATTGTTGGTCGCAAGCTAATTTTAAAACTTTCGAGTTTGTTGCCGGATCGTGACATTGATAAACAATCAACACAGATCACATGGAACACGTGACAAATAAGTGAATTGATAGAGACATGATATTTGTTTAAATTTTCCATGCGTTCCCATTTGCTAATCAAACTTTTCATTAACAGTTGTTTAATGATTTGTTGTATTAAATTTGTTCTTAAAGAATCAGTTATTTGCCTTCAAGTGCACATTTTTCTTTTTTTCGTCAGGGGTTTCCCCCTCACGCTTGCGCGGTGCGGTGGTCGAAGTTATTACTAGGGGAAAATATCGGCAAAATTAGTGTACGGGAAGACAATAACTCAATAACAGGTCATCTGTGAATATTTTTATAATATAAAGGATTTTCTTTTACAATAAATTTCACGTACATTTGTTTTATAGTAAAACTTAGCCATTCATGTATATAAAACATATACAACTTTTTTTTTAAATTCGAAACTTTTTTCATATGAATTTAAGCAACTTAGAAAACCATATTTAAATCTCAAAAGAAAATTAGGACATTTTTTTAATTTTTGTGTTTATGTCATTTTCATTCATACATGTTAAATAGGACATATAGGGGTCTAATTATTTGTTTGTTTCATGTTTTTGTTTCTGATTTTTATTAGTTTTTTTTTTCTTTTCTCGGTTTTGTCTTTTGCCAGAGACATGACTCAAGCTTTTCATGAAACTGTTGTAAAACAATAGTGGAGAATGGTCGAAGAAAATGCATGCTGGTTATACGAACAACACGTTTACCTTTATAACGTCTATCATAGAAATTGATACATTTGTAATCGGATTATTTGATATTCACAAAAAAGCCAAATTAATCAACAATAAAAAAAGTTGACATATTTGATCAAAGGCTGATCATACACTTGAAAAAGTTGCCGCAAATTGATTCATTTAAATTGTGAACGTTCCTTTTTGATATCTAACAAAGACTTACTTCCAGTATATTTTATAAACATATACACAATATCACCCAGATAAGCATGTGAAATTTCGGAGCTGGACTCGTCACGATTTTCTCTTAGTCTCATATCTACACCCCCAACTTCATTTCGCTGTATTGCCAAAGGGTAGGAAAACTGCAAATTGCTGTAAAATGAACGAAAAAAAAAATAAATGAAAAAAAAAAGAATATAGGAAAGCATAACAGATACTATAAAAAAATTAACAGAAACCGATTGAACTAAGAATAAAATGTATTAAACGCTTAAAGTACACAATTCACCAATATATTTATATATATTTGTTTTCTTTAGAGACAGTTTTAAGCACCACCTTAGTTAGCTTCCTGTAGTATTGAGCATATTTGATCATGCTTTGCTGATTATGTGCCGTCTTTTGTTTCAAGGTTCAAGTTAGTGGTCATCCTTTTGGTAGCTGCACTGTGAAGGTATTTTATTGTGTTTTTTTTTAAGCCCCTTAACCCTCTCCCCCACACACACGCTTATAGTATATTGGCTGTATCAACGTCAGAATATCTAGACCATATAGGTTTTCCTTGGTGTTTTTCTTTCTATATTTGAAGGAAACGGATGTTGGTTGTTGGCGTGGTCTGCTGTACTGTCAAAGATTTTTTTGTAATTTCTGTTAACCTTTCTATTTATTAAAACACTGAATCGATCAACAGCTGCCATACCTTAATATACCACTCCATTCTAATTATGCTGCTTGTTTATCTGTTCATATTCATACTGGACGTATTATATCATGTTCTTTTTTTGACGATAGGAAAGAACATTTAACTTGCCTCACATGAATTTAAAAAAAGAACACAACACAAAGGAATTTGCTGAATAAATAAAATTTCTTACCTATTTATGTTCTTAGATTTATTCTTGCAAATCAGGTAACAATCAACTGTTGCTGTTTTATTAATCATAGCCTTTACCATATAGCCACTGAATAACTATTTAAAAAAAAAAACCAAACAAATTGTGATAATTGGACTAAGCTATAAAAACTAAATATTATTTCACATGAAGGAACAGAATTTAGAAAATAGCTTTTCATTCTTTCTTGTCATTATGCTATCACAAAAAGCAAAATTGTTCAATGTAAATGTTTGACACTAGCTTCATTGCACACGACACGCATCCATTTGATCTTACAGTTATTTTTCTTAGTGATTTTTTCCATTTAGGGATTTGATTTTGTTGGATATGTTTAATAGTATTTAGTGAATTAATGTACATTTTGCTTCCACTAAGTTTTTATATCTTTAAATATCTTTCAAAATACAATCAGAAAGGAAATTTATTTAATTGAATTGTAGTTTTATATTTAAGAATAAAATTTAAAACAAAATGTTATAAGTAAATAATTTTAGGATCCTCACCTTCACTGGTTCAATATATTCTTTTGGTACGGTGTAATTATCGCTCACATATATAGAATTATTATCTGATGAAACAGGTTCTATAAAAACTTGCACGGAACTGTTTTTAACAAATACTGTCATTGATGAATCGTGGCATTCTGCGAAAAAATTACAATGTAACATCAAACAGACATCATAAAACGTTTAAACCCGCTGCATTTGTTTGCACCTGTCCTAAGTCAGGAATCTGATGTTCAGTAGTTGTCGTTTGTTGATGTGGTTCATAAGTGTTTCTCGTTTCTCGTTTTTTATATAGATTAGACCGTTGGTTTTCCCGTTTGAATGGTTTTACACTAGTAATTTTTTGGGGCCCTTTATAGCTTACTGTTCGGTGTGAGCCAAGGCTCCGTGTTGAAGACCGTACTGTGACCTATAATGGTTTACTTTTATAAATTTTTACTTGGATGGAGAGTTGTCTCATTGGTGCTCATACCACATCTTCTTTTATCTATCACTAGGAATAAGATTTATAGGGGGGACTCATATCGAGACAGATTTCGATTTTTACTTGTTTTCTACAAAGGGACGTTATTTCAATTTTAAACCGTTATGAATTCAAATAAAGACATTAATACAAAAACCGCCACTCTGTTTGATCATGAAAACACGCGTTTTGACCGTATAAACTTTGGCTTTATGCAGTCACTGAAAGAAACTGGTAACATACATGTTTCATTCGTTTCTGCGGTACACAACGGTTTGCATTGTTTTTTTTTTTTTGCTTCAACTATTTTTTGTTTAGTTTAAATATTATTAATTTATTTAAAAGAAGATATGGGGTATACGCAAATAACCCAGCAATCCAACAACACAAATGACCATCTAGAGGCTAACATAGTGTTTTCAAAATCACGAATCTATATATTATATGTCAAGTAAATAAAATAAATTTACCAAAACCAATTGTCGTTGAGCATATATCACATTTTATCATAATTAGGTATGGCATCTGAAAAAGTAAGTATACATTAAAAAAACATAAAAATAATAAAAAAGACATACGGTTGGAATTGAATGTAGCTCTAAACCAAATTCCTTGTGAAATTTCTAAAGAACATCTATGTTTATCCAAGGCCGTGTTCACACCAAACGTCGCGTACTGTAAACCTGTTTACAATTAGTTTCAAGTAATGAACACTTGTTTCACATTAAATTTGTTCTCATCTGTACATCAGTTTTTATTAGCTGTACATGATAAATTGTTTAAATTTAATTTTTTTCAACATGGAATTTAGAAAATGTTTCTTTATGTTATTGAAAAAATATTGGTAGGTTTTTTTTACTAATGTAATACAAAAATGGCTTTTCCAACGAAGATGAATGGTCTGTACCTTAAGAAAATCTTTCTATTGATTAAAACAGGCTAAAACAGCGTAACAATATTAGGCATTAGAAAATGACAGTATATTGGATAGGGACAGACATTTTGCCTTGCAACAGGACACCTTCGGACCCCTCAAAGGATTGTTGCAAAGGTTCTTAACATGCAGAGAACGTGGCACTCTATCAATACGAAGCATCGGATTCAATGTCCCAATTCTGACCAGACGTTGCTGAGTACTTGTACATCCCGCACAGCCAAACGTACGCTCCACTTTTACAAGGGTTATACGGTCAATCGGAAGAAGACCTAAGTGACTATAAATTTCTATTCCCCAAACACCTACACGGGATGATTTTGGAAATGAATAGTCTTTACTGGAACTAAAAGTAAAAAATAATCTTGACATGAAAAGACATGATGAAAATGAAAATTTTGTCATACAAAATGCAGGACTTTGCAAGAAATAGTTGTGTACAAAAAATGAAAATAATTTTTGCGCTTAGTACATAAGCCGTACTATCAACCGGTGTAACATGAATAATCTATCAACAAATAATCCCCCCTCCCACTGAAAATCAAATGGCCCACTAAGGCTATTAGATTTAATCATGTTTTTAAACGAGCTATTTTTGAGTTTTTGTCATATAAATAGGTAAATAACTTAAATCATAATATTATTCAATATATGTAACTTCCTTAAATATTCATAATAAAATCCACTTTCTTAATATCTAGTTTTATGTACACTTAACCTACACAAGGTCTACAATGACTATCGACTGCATGCAGTCAAAACCTGTTTTAAACTACATGTAAACATTGATTTTTATCAATGGGAACGTAATAGAGTTTAGTTAAGTGTGGAGTACACTTACACCACACCGAGTTTAGCTCAATGTGAACACGGCCTAAGTTTATCCCTACGTGTACCCTTTGTGTCACGCGTTATTTTCAGTGATTCCACATTTTTTTTTCAATTTTTCTTTATTCTTGAGTGTGCCTTTCATGGGTGGGGTCTTTCTGAAATTCAAACTGTGATGATAATTGTTTTTCAATTTATTTATATTTGTCCAATAAAAAGGTAGCTCCAATAGTGGAAACACATAACTGCAATTTCATTAATCTGAACATATCTGTGGTCATATTTGACACAGATATTCTGAAACTGTCAACAAAGTAAAAGGTCAACCGTGAAGTGTAAATATTTTATCACAGTAATAACGATTACAGATAGTTACGATAAAATTTGAAAGATATGAAAATCATTCAAATGAAATGTACATTCGAACAAAATCATTAAGTTACAGCTCATCTATACTCAATATTCTGTAGAAGTTGTACACCAATGACAGTAACTTCTCATTGTGTCAAATAAAATAATAGAAAGAAAAAAGATTTTTGTAATAATGTTTAAGTTTATTTAAATTATAGAATGTTTGTCTGTAAATAAAACCTACCAAAATAAATCCAACTATTATAAAACTCATTTCATCTAATTGCACTTTGAATACATCCTTTTAAAACCATAAGTTACAAGGCTCTATCATGGTTTATACCTGGAAAAAAAAATAAACTGTCAATTAAGAAAGTTATAAAAAATTATTTTTTTCCTAAATATGCAGTTTGTCTGACACATGTTTAAGAATAAATGTATGTATATTCATCATATAACTGTAAGATACGAAATAGTTAGTTTAACATTAGATGATTTGTTGTTTGTGGATGTGTGGTATTGGTACATTAGATCGTATGATATAGAGTAGCTGCATCCATACACTTCGAACTTTGTCATTTTAATTCAAAATGATCGGAAAGACTTTAATATTTTTCAAAGAAATGGACATGTATTTTCAGGATAAAACCGGTATTTTCAAACACCACCCTACCTTTTTGTTTGTTAAACGATCATATATCATATCCTACGTATTTATGTGGATAATATGGCCACACCAAACAGGAAGTCTCTTTACTAACCCTACTTTGATTGATAACAACATTTTGCGTTATCGAATTGTACATTGTTGAAGATAACAATCAGAAACAACATGGCGACATAACAAAAGTCATGTTAAACATTCACCCGAATAAGTTGGGACTGGTATGAAATTATCTTGTTGGAACATTATTGGAACGTATTCATTTCATATTCATGGCTATAAAGTCATGTTTCTCTACTGTCTGTTTTGGGTTCATTATAGCATCATGTCAAAGTGACTTATAGGGATAAAATATTAAAACAAGGTAATTGTGTTGGCCCCAAAGTCTTCATCATAAATCTAGAACTAAATTACCCTTCTTCAGATTATTAGGATCTTTTCTCTAAAAGGAGACGAATGTTAAAAATCAAAGTCCTTTTTCTTAAAATTGCTGATTTTTCGTTTAAAATTTGGAACCTTAATTCAAGTTGAAACTAAGGATACGCTCAATGCAAAATCACAAGGTACTGCATAAATGACAATTTAAAAAAATAAAAATAAACTAAAGGCTCTAAAGAGCCTGTGTCGCTCACCTTGTCTATGTGCATATTCAACAAAGGACACTCTCAAACATTGTAGACAAGAATAGAATTCATGACAAAAATCTCTGTTTTGTTGATTTTGTATTGCTGATCATTTAGTATGTTTAGTTTCTCTCTATCTTCCTTAGTTTTTGCTCAAAACCCAAATGAGGGTAAAAAAAATCCTCTTATAAGGGCAATCGCTCCTATAAAGAGTGACAGTCTAGTTACTATATCGGCAACATTTGACTTGTTAGTAGATCGTGCCTTGCTGATCATTTTTGTGATTTAAAGTGTCTATTTCTCTATTATAATTTTTTTCACATAAGGCAAAACACAAAAAAATTGTGAAAATCGTCATCAAATGGCAATAACTCTAATAAGGAGTCGACAGAGGATTTCGACCATGTGGACTTATTTGTAGAACTTGTCTTGCTGATAATTTTTGCTTTTAAAATTTCTCTCGATCTATTATAGTTTTCAAAAAAATAGGCAAAAATGAAAACAAATTGTAAAATTTGTCATTTAAGGGCAATAACTCGTATAAGAAGTCGTCTGATAGTTTTGACGTATATGAACAATTGGTAGAGATCTGAACATTTCTGCTCCTTTCAGATTTTCTCTATTTATAACAGTTTACAAAATAATAGACAAAACTTGCATTTTTCCCCTGAGTTCTATTTTTAGCCATGTCGGCCATCTTGGTTGGCAAGCGGGGTCATTGGACACATTTTTTAAACTAGAAACCCCAATGATGATTGTGGCCAAGTTTGGTTAAATTAGGCCCAGTAATTTCAGAGGAGAAGATTTTGTAAAAGTTAACGACGACGACGACGGACGACGGACGCTAACTGATGAGAACCTTATGATATGTTTTCATAAACCTAAATTCTAACAGCACTACGGAAAATAAGATGCAACCATTATTTAAAGAGATAAAAAGTTTGTAAATGAAACAAATTAAAAGAAAAACTGACGTATCAAGTACTTATCCAGATTTGTCAATCTGTTGTCTGAAGTAATGAACCGATGCCAAACCACTGCTTTTGTATTGATCAAATACGGATAATAAACAAGTACTTTACATATGAATCAAAATCAATAAAATAATTAAAAGAAACTTGGACTCTACTGGCTGCAAGGTCATTTACTAAATAACCATGTTCACAGTACACAACCCAATGAAGAAAGCTCAGTGATGCTTTCTGTTAACGTATGTCCCATACGTATCGTATCATCATTATCGACACACTGGTACAAAGAAAGTGATGCTACTGACTTATGTTCAGTTACGGCCATTATCTGTGCATTGCAATATAATATTTTGGCTAGAATGGTGCTCGGTAGCTCTGATAGAATGATTTGTGTAGATTTCAGACAAGTTGCATTTCTTCCTCAAATATGTCATGAAATTTCCAAACGTTTTTTCGCCCACAGGTTTTCTGGATTAACCGTCATTTGGAACTCTGAAAGGCAAATATGATATGTTATAATACCACGTAGAGTCCTCCTCACAGAACTGATCTTTCAGATCAATCTCCGGCGCAGAGCTCACATCCGTTCCGTACTTACTTCGTATCACTACACTTAATATGTATTGTAGTGTACTGAGTATACGGAAAGGAAACGAGCGCTGTACGGAGATTGCTTTCAGATCTGCCAAAGTTTGTCACACGGCGGATTTAATTTATGTATATACTTATAGATTATCGATGGTCATCTCAACGAGATTGATTTTCTCGCTTGAGCCGGTACGGAGAAAAGCAATCGAGTTGAGATGACCAATGGTAATCTGTTTATCGCTATTTTACCTATGATGACGTTGTTAATTTCATTGACAACGGCACGTGCGCCCTTAGTTTCTAGCGATAATTTTTCATATCACTCTACTGTGCTGAGAAATATAGAATAAAGGACTTTTTGTTTTTGAGACTGACTTTATCACGGTAAAATATTTTACAGTGATAAAGTCAGTATCAAAAACACAAAAGTCCTTTATTCTTTTTATCGGTAATTTTGAAAAAATGAAAATCACTATACTGTTATAATATAATAATAGAGAAAATAACAAACGAACTAATTTATCGCGTCGAATCACGGCGAATCACACTTGACGTCACAGGCTGCATTACGTCATTTGAAATTTTGTCGCAGTGCAGTAAACATGCCGTTCTCTTGCACAAAGTATTGAAAATGAATTATTGCATGCGTATCATTAATACACCTTATCGCTATTTGTCCGCCATTACTGGACATCACAAAAGTTCCCGTAAAATTTTGACGTCATAATAGAAAATATCTGACGCCACAATGGAAAAGTGATTGTTGTATGACGTCAAAAGTTCAAGTGGGACAGATTCTCGGGTCAAGCGGGAATAGCGATAAGGTGTATTCTACTTTGAACATGCCTTTAACAATGCAGAATATAATGGTAACATACCGGTAAGTCAAATTTCTTTATTTTTCACACAGCATGTATATGATACGATATGAATCAGCAGATTTGTCATTGTTTTAGAAGTTCAAGTTTTATCTTTTACAAAGTTGGATGGATAATTTGCTTAAAATTACACTTTTATCTTATCGTTATACGCTTAGCGTATTTTTAATAGATGTCACAACTTTGGTTTATTTACTTTCGCTTTTCGTTGTTTTTTCAAAAGTCATGTCATTTATTTTTCAACCCAGACCAGAAATATATTCTATAAAACACTGAAGGCCCTGTTATTACCTGTAATTTCAGAGGCGGATTTAGGGGGGCAGGCGGCCGGGATACCCTCTATAAAGGCTACATTTATGGTTAATGCTGACTCTTTACCGGTTCCACTCCAAACGTTGCATGGTTGTCTAGTTTCACTGTGTCTAGTTTGGGGACCCCGCGCACCCCCTTTTTCAAATCCTGGATCCGCATCTGAATTTGTTCGCGTATTTGTTCTTTGGTCTATGCATAGTTGTCTTTACATTGACAATGAAACCACGTCTCCTTAATTTTATATGATGGTCCCACAAAAATGTCGAAATGTGTATAGTATATTTCATTATTTTGTTTCTAGCTTCTCTCATGCGATGGCGGTACCTTTTTGGTCACTATTTATGTGTTGCGTCTTAATATGAATTGTAACACTTAATAGTGACTGAACTGTGAACAGGTTGAACAAATACTTCTCAAGAAACAGAAAAAGAAGACAACTTGGAACAGCACCAGACTATAAATGAATAAAACTCAGATCGGATTAGTAAGGAAAGCTATCAATAATACATCGTTTTTAAGTTTATCGGGTTTTTCGTACAATTTTTTTGTTCAAATTTTCATACAATCGTTCAAAAAAGCTAAACTTACTTTACTGAAAAAACGATAAATGTTTCATTCACCAAAAAATTCGTGCGTTTCTGCGAAAAAAATCACGCGCGATTTTGTGAATGAAAGGGAAAGTATATCCTTACGCGGTGCACTCGCGCATGTCAATTGCGAACTGACCCAATAATTTTTTTATCACGACCAGTCCACTGATACTGACATTATCAGCGAGTACACATCAAAGAAAAAATACACAAGTTACCGATAAAGGAAATTATCAGTCAGTAAGATCAAAGGAAAATTTCGTAAAATAGCGATAATAATACTTCTAGAAGGAGGACACAGGACAATATACAGAACTGGAATTTTCGGCATAATTCCTGAATTTTTTTCTTGTCGTTGCCGCGATGATTATTTGTCAGCTCATCCAAAGTTTTAACAACATATTTCAGCTCCGTCGTCGGATAATTTTTTACTAAAAACGTCTATTTTGTCATTTGTGACATATCTTACATTCCTCGTCGAAAAATATACACGCGAATATCGAATTTAATTTTATTTTGAAGAAATAAAACATACCTTTCAGACCACAAAAAAAAAGGTCTACTTCAGTTCTGTTATTAATTTACATATAATCTTAATGAAATTCGTGTGCAGTCGACATTAAAAATAAGTACCAAAGTTACGATTAATATATTGTTACACGAGGCCTATAACTGACCAAACCAAGAGGTAATGAATCTTCTTAAAATGTGAGGCATAAATTGCCCACTTTCTTAAATTTCCTTTAAAGAGTGTCGATACAGATGTACACAACTTCAAGGTGTATTCTAACAACTGAATGTCCATACATACCTAGTTGTGGGAAAATTTCTTTAAAAAAAAATCTTCGTGTGACCAATTGCATCTTATAGTCCCGGCTTAGTAAGACCCAATGAAAGTGTGCATGTGTATGTGATTAAAGAGGGTCTAAAGTACCAAACATCTCACTTGTAAGCAGACATGGGGCGAATTACACTGCAATGTAATGCATTATATTACAATTGCTTTGACAAAACCATGCATTAAATTACAATTACAATTACATGCATTTATCAAAGTAATGCATTAAAGTACAATTACTTTTGCAAAGTAATGCATTGAATGTACATATTACATTTGTAAATTTTA